CTTCTCCTTCTCCTTCTCCTTCTCCTTCTCCTTCTCCTTCTCCTTCTCCTTCTTCATTATTATATTATTATTATTATTATTATTATTATTGTTATCATCATCATCATCATCATCATTAATTGTTGTACACAGCCCTTTCTGCTCCATCTGCCAGCTTCGGATTTTACACGTTTACTGGGCACCTTGCGCGGATGAAAGTCGGAAGACTGTTCTGGTGCTGGAGGAGACCTCCAAAGAATTTCCTCTTGAGGGCATCTTTCTCATCATCCCTTGCATTGTACAATCTCTCTTTCCCTTTGAGGTAGCCAGGGACTCTGTTGATGGCTGCTGAAGTGAGTGCGCCTGTGGATCTTGAGAGTCTGTAAGAATTATGTTCTTCCTAAATGTCGTGGGGGGGAGGGGAGTTAGACTGATGTGAAGGAGAAATCTGCCCGCTTTCTTGCACCAGTGAGCAGCAGTGAGCGAAGGAAGGCCGGGGCAGAGGCAAGAATGGAAGGATTGGGCTTGGAGAGACTAAGAGAGGCCAGAACGGAAAGCAAGGACTTCGTTCAACTTACAGCTCGAAGGCTGCAGGAGTGCTGCTGCCACCACTGAGAGAGAAGGGCGGTGGTGGCTGTTCCTTTGTTTTGACTCACTGCCGTTTTGCCCTTCAGCCCTTGGCAGATCAGAAGAGCTGAATGGGTCTGCCCCTGCTCCACATACCAGTGCTGGACCAGATTCCTCAGGACTTATGCCACACCCTTTTTTTCTCATCTCTCTGAAGGCAGCAAGGCTCTTATTTGAATATGCAGATAAGACAGACAAATCAAGAAGTATTCTTCTCCCCTTCAAGGTTTTTTTTTTAACTTCTGAATTTTACTTCCTCCTCATTTCGCCGAAAAATGTTGTGACTTGTGATGCAAAAATGGAAGCTGAGGTTTTTTTTCCTCTGCCTTGTATAGCTAAGCAAGTGATGCTTCCTGTGTGATGGATAAAGTAAGAAAGAGGAACGTGATGCTGGGCAGGACTTGGGGGATGCAGATTTGAACCTCTCCTATTGCGAGAAGGCCTGCAACAAGGTGCCCATCTCTGGAGGAGACACGAAAGTCCGTAATTGGGAAGGGAGTTGGAAGCCCCCTTCTGCTTCATGGAGGATCAGGAATGGCAGATGCTCGTTTGTATGGAGGCCCTTCCAAGCAAGGGGGCGGTGAAGTGTGCCCACCTGGGATTCAATTTTGAGCTGGCTCTGGCTGGGTGGCCCCAATGCACTGCTTGGTTTTCCGTTTCTTAGTGTTTCTCTGTTGCCAGACCTCTTGTTACCCTGCATGCCCTTCCAACTGCAAGCCTGCTTTGTGGGGGTGGGGTGGGGGGGAGAACCAAGCCGGAAGCAAAACCATCATGGGAATGTGCTGTGATGGGTGGGAAGGTTCTTGTGGCATTGCTTGGAACTCACTGTTGCATTGGAGCGCAGAGGGAGAGCGGGAGGGAATTTGGGATGGGGGCATCGTCCAGTGGTCTCAGAAATGAAGACCCTGAGCCGGATTTGCAGGAAGCTCTGACTCTGCCTCCTGTCACGAGAACGCTGCCAGGAGCAGGATGCAGGGATGACTTCCCCTCCAGGTTTCGGGCAGGGCGGTTTCTGAGAAGGAGTCCAGCAAAGGGTCACTCAGGGAGGCAAGAGATCATCCATTAGGCTCTTCATTCACACAGTTGCGCCTTTTTGCATATGTAAATATATGCCAGTCAGTGTGCAAATCGGTCTCATCCTCCCTTTTTCTCTGAGTAAATAAACGGTCTCATCCTGGAGTGAGGATTCAATCCACAGAGGTGCCCTGCAAACGGGGGACCCCACCTGCCTGGGAAAGGGGTCAGCATGGACGACTGGCCGGCCGGCCTGCCTGCCTGCCAAGGAGAAGGTTCCCTCCCCTGCCCATTGCTCTGTGCGGTCCACAATGCTTTATGTCGAGGAGAGGGGAGTGGCCTCACAAAATTATTTTTGTGCATGCTTTCTTAATTAAAAAAGTGAATGTTTATGGTTTAACTGTTTTGGTGCCCGTTTTAATTTGTGGCAGATTTCAGGAAAGATGTATTGGCCTTAGATTCTGGAGAAACCTTAGTTTCCATTGAAAGGTGGCCTACAGTTTAGATATAACTTGGAATCCAGATCAGTCTTTGAATGTGTCGCCCTGCTCTGTGTCATAGTCGTGGCTCAAAGGAAGGGTTGTGCACAGCCTGTGGCATTTGGCAAGAACACGGAAAGAATTGAACTTAATGAGAAATTGGCTGCCTTTTCTTACAAAGCTTCTATCTTATTGCCCCTTAAAGCTTTTGGGGACCAGAATCCCCTTTGCTGGCTGCTTGGAGGGTTACTGGAGAGGGACGCGCTGTGCCCCTGAAGATGGGCATCAGGTTGGCAGCCCTGGAGATGAACAGTTTTCTCCTTTCCCTTCATTTCTCTCCCAAGCATTCAAGCTGGCGTGCTTGGAGTTCCCCGTTTTGGGTTAAGAGCCGCCCCAAAGGATACTGAGGGTCTTTGTTGGGGGAGCTCCCTGTTTCCGCCCCTCCTGATGGCCCTGCAGACCATTCAGTGGGCGTAGCTGCCCATCTCACACGCGTGGCCCTCCCGTTTTTACAGCAATGGTTTGGAAGCGGTTCCCCTCCCAGATATCTGCAGCCCTGGGGTGGCCAGGCCACCTCCCTCCAAGCGCCGAGAAGGGTCGGCTCTTGGTTTGGGGGGAACAGGAGAGGGCCGGAGTGGGGAGTCTGACAAGCCGGCTGCACAACAACCTTCCACCTGTTAATGTCCTGGGCAGGGGGGCTCCAGACCTGAAGGTCCTTTGAATCAATCCGAGGAGCTGACAGTTTTGCTGCGGAGGACTCGGGGAAAAGCTCCATGGGGAGGGAAGCGTCAGCATCAGCAAAAGAAACCCAGACAGCTTGCCGCATCTGACTTGAAAAGGAAGTTTTCTTCCGAGACAGGTTGGGGAGGGGCGGCGGGTTCTCAGTGGGACACCCACCGGGTTTTCTCCCCGGCCCGCCGGGTTGTCAGCCCCTCTGGCACCAGATTCTGCCTCGCCAACTTCCCAGGGACGCAAGTCCTGCGGGGAGCAAAGTCTTCTGCACGCCCCTCAGGGCTTCAGCTCAGTCTGACCTCCTTCAGGGATGGCCAGGGTAGGAGGTCTTCCCTCAGAGGCATCCCCGCTACATAGCCGGGAGGGAGGCAAGGCGAGCTGAACCAGCCCCTCGGGCGAGTGGAGCGAAATCCCATTCCCTGCCGGTCTCAGGGCATCCTGGCGGTCGTTGCTTTGGGGGGAAAGAGCTCGTGCAGAGTTCAGCCCTCGCCTCTTTCCTCAACAATGCTGCCCCCCCCAAGGATCGTTACGGAAGGCTGCCCCCCCAGCCCCCCCGCCCACCTCTGCCTGCCCCCCCCCCGCCGGCGGGGGGGG